GTGGTCAAATTCATAGAGACAGGAGGTAAAATGATAGTTAGCAGGAGCTAGGGGGAGATGGCAATAGAGATGCTACAGTTTCAGTGCAGGATAATGAAAAAGTTCTGGAGATAAGTAGCAGTAATTACTGCACAATACTGTATGTACGTAATGCCACTGACTGTACAATTTAAAATGGCTAAATGGTAAATTTTATGTGTATTTTATGACAACTAAAAAGGAAATGATAAACAAAAAAATATTTTTTTGATATGGAAGCTTGCTCTGTTGCCCAGGCTGGAGGCAGGGGCACATCTTGGCTCGCTAAAACCTCCAACTCCCAGGTTCAAGCGATTCTCCTGCCTCAACTTCCCGAGTAGCTGGGACTTACAGGCACACACCACCATGAACAGGTAATTTTTGTATTTTTAGTAGAGATGGGTTTCACCACATTGGCCAGGCTAGTCTTGAGCTCCTGACCTCGTGATCCTCCTGCCTCGGCCTTTCAAAGTGCTGGGATTACAGGCATGAACCACTGCACCCAGCTGATAAAATTTTTTACTCTTCGCACAATTGGCTCTCTGATGCAATCATATGGGAATATATTTTATGATAATAATTTTAAGATATTTTAAGATTAAAGAGAAAAAAATCTGTTTACTGAAAATTTCTTTCTTTTTTTGAGATGGAGTCCTGCTCTGCTGTCCAGGATGGAGTGCAGTGGTGCAATCTCAGCTCACTGCAACCTCTGCCTCCCAGGTTCAAGTGATTCTTCTACCTCAGCCTCCCAAGTAGCCTGCCACCAAGCCTGGCTAATTTTTGTATTTTTAACAGAGACAGTGTTTCACCATGTTGCCCAGGTTCGAATCGAATTCCTCGGCTCACGCGATGATCCCATCTCAAATTCCCAAAGTATTGGCCTTACAGGCATGAGCCACCATGCCTGGCCTATCTGCAGAAAATTTCTCATTGTAATATCTTTTTTTCCTTTTTTTGGTAGAGACAAGGTCTTGCTATGTTGCCCAGGCTGGTCGCAAACTCTTAGGCTCAAGCAATCCTCCAATTTGGACTCCAAAAGTGATGGGATTACAGATATGCCACTGCGCCTGGCCTGTAATATCTTTAAAATCAATTAAATAAAAATAAATGACTAAACATAAAGGGACAATTTAATGAACTACAGTATTATATATCCAACAAGTATGGTATTTATAAAGATAGTAATAGTATTATTAAATAATAACAAAATAAGATTAGTAAGAAAAAGTAGAATATGAAAGTATACATACAGAGTGATTATGCTGAGGTACAAATATGCAGGCCTATGAGACTGGCAAGGAGGAACTGCTAACTGAAATAATGAAATCATAGGGAGATAAAAATTTTTTTCTTTTGATACTATGATGATGTTTATTCAATAAACATTTGCAGTGGAGAAAGAGAAAAAAAAAAACAAAGAACTTTGTCTTTTTCAAAGCTAAATATGAGAAATATAATCTCTACCTTTTTTTTAAAAAAAAGACGAGGTTTTACCATGTTCGTCAGGCTGGTTTTGAACTCCCAACCTCAGGTGATCTGCCCGCCTTGGCTTCCAAAGTGCCTGGATTACAGGCGTGAGCCACCACGCCTGGCCAATCTCTACCTTTCTAAAAAGCTGCCTAGGCCAGGTGCAGTGGCTTATGTCTATTATCCCAGAACTTTGGGAGGCTGAAGCAGAAGGATTGCTTGAAGCCATGAATTCAAGACCAGCCAGGCAACACAGCGAGATCCTATCTCTACAAAAAACAACAACAGGAAGAAACAACAACAAAAACACTAGCCTGGTGTGGTGGCTTGTGCCTGCAGTCCCAGCATCTGGAGAGGTTGAGGTGAAAGGATCACTTGAGCCCAGAGTTCGAGGCTGCAGTGAACAATGACTACACCACTGCACTCCAGTATGGGCAAAAGAACAAGATCCTGTCTCTATAATAATAATAATAAAAAAAAACGTAAAAAGCTGACTAGTCATAATTTGTTCGCACAATATCTAAAACTTTAAACAGCACAATAATACAGTGTTTCCAAATTACCTCTTTACATTTTAGGCCAAATACCACCTATTGTATCATATTTTGATCCAGAAATGATTAATGCAGCTTACAAAGGAACATGAGATATAACAACAAATTAAAAATCAGAAAAAAAATGTAAAAGGGGCTGGGTGTGGTGGCTCACACCTGTAATCTCAGCACTTTGGGAAGCCAAGGCAGGTGGATCACCTGAGGTCAGGAGTTTAACACCAGCCTGGACAAAACAGTGAAAACCCTACTCTACTAAAAATCCAAAAATTAGCTGGGTGTGGTGGCATACAATTGTAATCCCAGCTACTTGGGAGGCTGAAGCAGGAGAATTGCTTGAACCTGGGAGGCAAAGGCTGTAGTAAGCCAAGATTGCAACACTGTACTGCAGCCTGGTGACTGAGCGAGAGTCTGTCTCGAAAAAAATAAAAATAAAAATTAGTCAGGTATAGTGGCAGGTGCCTATAATCCCACCTACTCGGGAGCCTGAGGCAGGAGAATCTCTTGAACTTGGGAGGTGGAGGTTGCAGTGAGCTGAGATTGCACCACTGCACTCCAGCCTGGGCAATAGAGCAAGGCTTGGTCTCAAAAAAATAAAAAATAAAAAAAATTTTTTAATGAAGCAGATATATATAGACATAGATGTATACATAGAGAAGAAATAATTTCCAAGATACATTGTCAAGTAAAAAAAAAAAGGAAAAAGAACTACCCAATAGTATATTACACCATCTTTGTTTTTAAAAAAAAGAAGAGATAGGAACAGTGGCTGTAATCTGAGCACTTTGGGAAGCCAAGGCAGGGAGATCACCTGAGGTCAGTTAGAAACCAGCCTGGCCAACATGGCAAAACCCATCTTTACTAAAAAATACAAAAATTAGCTGAATATGGTGGCACATGCCTGTAGTCCCAGCTACTTGGGAAGCTGAGGGAGGAGAATCACTTGAACCTGGAAGGTAGAAATTGCAGTGAGTCAAGATCTCGCCACTGAACCCCAGCCTGGGTAACAGAGTGAGACTCCTGCCTCAAAAAAAAAAAAAAAAAAGAAGGGCTGAGCCTCACACCTGTAATCCCAGTACTTTGGAAAGACAAGGCGGGTGAATCAGATCACTTGAGTCTAGGAATTCGAGACCATCCTGGGCAACATAGTGAAATCCCATCTCTACAAGAAATAGAAAAATTATTGGCCAGGCGCAGTGGCTCAAACCTATAATCTTAGCACTTCAGGAGGCCGAGGCGTGGTGGCACATGCCTGTAATCCCAGCTACTTGGGAGGCTGAAGCAGGAGAATTGCTTGAACCTGGGAAGCAGAGGTTACAGTGAGCCGAGATCATGCCATTGCACTCCAGTCTGGGCAACAAGAGTGAAACTGTCTCAAAAAAAAAAAAAAATTTATATATATATATATATATATATATTGCTGGGTGGCACATGCCTGTAGTCCCAACTATTCAGGAGGCTGCGGCAAGAGGATCACTTGAACCCAGAAGGCAGAGGTTGCAGTAAGCTGAGATTGTGCCACTGCACTCCGGCCTGGGTGACAGATCTACACTCTATCTTAAAAAAAAAAAAAGAGCCAAGGTGGGTGAATCACAAGGTCAGGAGTTCAAGACCAGCCTGGCCAACTTGGTCAAACCCCATCTCTACTAAAAATACAAAAATTAGCCAGTGTGGTGATGCGTGCCTGTAATCCCAGCTATTTAGGAGGCTAAGGCAAGAGAAATGCTTGAGCCCAGCAGGCGGTGGTTGCAGTGAGCTGAAACTGCGCCATTGCACTCTAGCCTTGGCAACAGAGCGAGACCACAATTTAAAAGGAAAAAGAGAAATTTAAAAAATAGCCAAGTATGGTGGTGGTCACCTGGAGTCCCAGCTACTCGGGAGGCTGAGACAGGAGGGTGGATTGAGCCTGAGAGGTGGAGGCTGCATTGAGCCGTGTTTGTGCTACTGTACTCCATCCTGGATGACAGAGTGAGACCCCAGCTCAAAAAAAAAAAAGCAGGGGGTGAAGAAGACATGTTCACTTATATTTGTATATACACAAACTACCTCTAGAAGCATATAAAAAGAATTTTTAAAAACCTCCAAAACTTAACTCTTTTTTGAGACAGGGACTCATACTGTTGACTAGGCTGGAGTACAATGGCGTGATCGCAGCTCACTATAGTCTCGAACTCCTGGGCTCAAAAGATCCCATCTCAATGTCCCAAGTAGCTAGAACTACAGGCTTGAGCCACCATGCCTAGCTAATTTTTTAATTTTTTGCAGAGACAAGGTCTCACTATGTTGCCCAAGCTGGTCTCAAACTCCTGGGATCAAGCAATCCTCCTGTCTTGGCCTCCCAAAGCACTGAAAATATGAACATGAGCCAGTATATTGGGTCCAATTTAACTTTTTTTTGTTTTTTTGAGTTTAGGAGTGGAGGTTTAATAGGCAAGAGAAAGAGAAAGGAAAACAGCTCACTCTCTAGTGGGAGAGGGGACTACTGAGAGGAAAAGGCCCTAATTTAACGTTTTTAAGTGAGAGAAACAAACAACAAAAGCCAAACAAAGGCAAGGACAAAACAGAGCCAAGTATAGGGTAAAAACTCCCACAGAACCAATGACAGAAGGTATGTAAACTTTAAGAGCAGGTATACATTTCACTCTAGGCCTTCCTCCAGCAGATAACACAAAAAGGGAGACCGTATCAGTTAAACAGATACAGTGTTCATTAGGAAAAAAAAATTATCCAATTGCTCATGAAATTAATTATACTATTCTGGGTACTAAGAATAGAGGGGATTTTCTCCCTCTGGGTCTTTCTCAAGAGAACACTGAATGATGCTGTCAACACTGTCTCTACAAACTGCTACAACAGTGAGCAACAATTACTTTCCCTGGGGTATGGTCACTATCATATGAAAATATTAAACATTTTGACTTTGCAGCCACCATGTCTTTTTTCTTAGGCTGATCACAACCTTACCTTGGTTCCATTTGGTGTTGCAGGGAAGGCTGGGGAAAAGGCAGAGCTTGTGTCAGGAGATTTGGGAACAAATGAGGGTTGGTCTAGGGCTGAAGCCGATGTAGAGGATGGCGAAATCTCAGAGACAGGTTGGTTCTCCTGCATATGGGGTAGGACGTGATCTACCACCCATCCAGAATAAGAAGATAGCTTGGGAAGAGACATACATTCTTCCAAAACATCCTAGAGATAAGAAAAGGGTTAAGCTCAATTTGCATGTCAACTGATCTCAGTATAATCTAAGAAGGCCTAAATAAATAAACACCAAGGACCCAAAGTAATGCATTAACAATCAGATGAGAAGAAAGTACAGTGGTTTCTTGATAATGACATTGACTACTATCCTTTTTTTTTTTTTTTTTTCCAGACGGAGTCTCGCTCTGTTACCCAGGCTGGAGTAACCTCCACCTCTTGAGTTCAAGCGATTCTCCTGCGTCAGCCTCCTGAGTAGCTGGGATTACAGGCACATGCCACCATGCCCAGCTAATTTTTTGTATTTTTAGTAGAGATGGGGTTTCACCATGTTGACCAGGATGGTCTCAATCTCTTGACCTCGTGATCCACCCGCCTCGGCCTCCCTAAGTGCTGGGATTACAGGCTTGAGCCACCGCGCCTGGCCTTTTTTTGTATTTTTTGTAGAGGTGAAGTTTCTCCATGTTGCCCAGGCTGGTCTTGAACTTCTGGGCTCAAGTGATCAGCCCACCTTGGCTTCTCAGCCCACCTTGGTGCTAGGATTGCAGGTTGAGACACCAAGCCTGGCTCCTGGCTGGTCTTGAACTGGCCTCAAGTAATCATCCTGTCTCAGCCTCCCAAAGTGTTGGGATTACGGGCATGAGTCATCACACCCGGCCTAATAATTTTTAAACAGTAAAAATAGATGGCCGGGTGTGGTGCCTCACACCTGTAATCTCAGCACTTTGGAAGGCTGAGGCAGGTAGATCATGAGGTCAGAAGTTCGAGAACAGCCTGGCCAACATGGTGAAATCCTGTCTCTACTAAAAATACAAAAAATTAGCTGGGCATGGTGGCGCATGCCTATAATCCCAACGATTTGGGAGTCTGAGGCAGGAGAATCACTTGAACCTGGGAGACAGAGGTTGCAGTAAGCCAAGATCATGCCATTATACTCCGACCTGGGCCACAGAGTGAGACTCCATCTCCAAAAAAAAAGGTAATAATGACCATATCTAGTACCAGATTTTGATTTCTAAATATAATTTTAAATCAAAGGAAACCAGAGGTCTTTGCAGGAAAGGCAAGTTCCAGAGCTGGAGCTGGAAAAATATAAGATGAGCCTGGAACATCTTTGCATGAGAAAATAAGCACTGATTACATCCTGTACCACAAATCCGTGATGGTTCTAAAAATATATATAAAATAAGCACTGATTACCTGTGATATAATAAATTAAAAAACCAGAGTGATTGGGAGATTGCTACAATGAGCTCAAGTAAACTGATTGAGCAAATAAGTAAACATATTGAGAATAACAGGAGCCAAACTTCTCACTGCTGAATAACATATTTACAAATAGGGATGGGGTAAGATTAGAAAGAAACGTGAGGGACTGGGTTGGAAATGGCATTTATCAGTATGAAGTCATGGTTTTAAAATACGTATGTACACAAAAAGGGAGAAATAGTTATAGATAGTACATAAATGCGTGTGTGGAGATTTGTGTACATATATACATATGTATTATTTCCTAGCTCTGTCTACTGAGAAGGCCTAGAAGCAATGGTACCCAAGCAAGAATCTCAACACACTGAACTCCCAGATCTTGGTTTGTAAATACAGCACCATCCTCCACTTCAAAAGAAACAGGCTTGCCGGGCGCGGTGGCTCACGCCTGTAATCCCAGCACTTTGGGAGGCCTAGGCGGGTGGATCACGAGGTCAAGAGATCGAGACCATCCTGGTCAACATGGTGAAACCCCGTCTCTACTAAAAATACAAAAAATTAGCTGGGCATGGTGGCGCATGCCTGTAATCCCAGCTACTCAGGAGGCTGAGGCAGGAGAATTGCCTGAGCCCAGGAGGCAGAGATTGCGGTGAGCCGAGATCACGCCGTTGCATTCCAGCCTGGGTAACAAGAGCAAAACTCCGTCTAAAAGAAAAAAAAACAAAACAAGAGAAACAGGCTCTTTGGAGAAATAGCTGATTCCAGGGTTGGGACAGGGAAACTTGCACCTGGGACACCTTTTTGTGCCAAAAAGTAAAGAAATGTCAGTGAAATATGGAAACATGTCAGAGGAATACAGGAATCAACTTAATGAGGCATCCAGTAGCCAATTCCGGGACATTTTTCTTTTTTGTTTTTTTTTTTCTTTTCTTTTCTTTTTTTTTTTTTTTTTTTATACAGAGCCTGTGTCACCCAGGCTGGAATGCGTGGCATGATCTTGGCTCACTGCAACCACAACCTCAGACTCCAGGGTTCAAGCAATTCTCCTGCTCAGCCTCCCAAGTAGCTGGGATTACAGGCACCTGCCACTACGCCTGGGTAATTTTTGTATTTTTTTAGTAGAGACGGGGTTTCACTATGTTGGCCAGGCTGGTCTTGAACTCCTGACCTCAAGATCCATCCGCCTCAGCCTCCCAAAGTACTAGAATTGCAGGCTTGAGCCACCATGCCTGGCCAACATTTTTCTTTTTAATTCTTATGGATACATAATCGTTGTACGTATTTACAAGGTTACGTGTGTGTGTGTGTGTGTGTGTGTGTGTGTGTGTGTGTGTGTTTGGAGACACAGTTTCTCTCTGTCGCCCAGGATGGAGTACAGCATCGCAATCTCAGCTGCAACCTCTGCCGCCTAGTTCAAGCAATTCTTGTGCCTCAGCCTCCCGAGAAGCTGGGATTACAGGCACGTGCCACCACGCCCGGCTAATTTTTGTATTTTTAGTAGAGATGGGGTTTCACCATGTTGGCCAGGCTGGTCTCCAACTCCTGACCTCAAGTGATCCATCCCCCTGGGCCTCCCAAAATGCTGGGATTACAGGCCTGAGCTACCACACCCAGCCTTGCATGTGATATTTTGATACACGTTTACAAAATCTGGGACATTTAAAATAAAATAAAAAATAATAAAAGCAAGGGAGTACAACTCATTGAATAATAACAGAAATCCATGAGTCCATACCAATATAACTAAGCAATTGGGAAAAGAAAGGACCTCCTTACAGTGGAAGGCCAACTAACAAATGCAGAAGGCAAAGGGGGTATAAAGAAACAGGATCTGGCAACATCATAGAGGTGATCAATTCATGTGGAAAACATCAATGAATGCTAAAAGCATGGAGGATGAAGGTTTGCCCAGAAAAAGGATACTAGTGTAATCTCCACAACACTTTACCAACAATTACTAAGGGAAAAATGACGCATTTTAAAATGGAGAGACCAGGCAGATAACAACGTAACCAGGTGATCAAGATTAGCATCACCAGCATCGGGATGGGTTGACATCTGTGTGCCTCCTCATGTGACTTACTGAGAAAGCCATGGCATCATTTCTGTGGTATTCCTGCCAAATATGCTTAACCTTGGTCTGGTGCTTTGAAAGGACCAGACCTATGCTGGCAGTCAACCTACAAAATGTAAGGTCTGTATTTTTCAAAACTGTCAACAACATAAAAGACAGGGAAATACTTTAGGATTGTTTCCCAACAAGTCTGAGGACTAAGGACAACGTCTTATCTGCAGCTAACGAGCAGCGACTCGGGAATGGGAGCCCTGCCTTAACTCTCCACATCCCTCCATTTCTAGCGCAGAGCTTTGCAAATGCTAGATACAGTGACCATGCCCCCATTCACTTCCCAGGTCTGCCAAATGAAATCTAGAAATTTGGTAATTTCACTGACAGCAATAGATTAGGTCGTATCAACTGTTAACCACAAAATCTAGAACTCCTAGCACACGAGACACGCAGTAAGTTAACTGAGCCTGGGGCCAAGATTGCTTTGACAGCAGCAGAGCGGAGAAGGCGCCTAACTAGCTGAGGGTAGCAATGAAGCCTTCAGAGTGCGGGGCAACTGTGAAGTCAGGGGAGCCCCCGGGAAAGCTAAAATAGGCCGGAGACGGCAGAAGCCCCAGGACAGAGGGACGTACACAGAAGTCAAGAAATAAATGCAGGTTGTTATAGACAGCAGGGGTTCCCGGGAGCAGGACGTGCCAAGGGCTAGAGAGAAGGGTCCGGTCGCGAGAGGCCCAGGGCCTACGTCCTCCGGGGCCATCGCTCACCTCGCCCCGCAGCAGCCAGTCGCGGTGGTAGCAAAGGCGACCTTTGTCGGAACTGCGCAGCGCCTGCAAGGTCTCCCAGCAGCGACCCTCAGACGGCATGGCGGGATATAGGGTAGCTTCTCTGAGGCGCCGCTTCTGACTAAACAAGCCCTCGAATCAGCCGCCTGGAAGGCAACATAGACTTCCGTTTCCGGGGCGCGCGCGTAGTACAGCCCCTCCTCTAACGGATGCACGCCCCGCCTTCGGCGGCGCTCCCGGCCTCCCGCCAGTGCGCCTGCGCATAGGATTAGGCTGTGGGACGAGATCTGCAGAGGTGAGCATCGGCTCCCAATTCGCGGGGCTGCAGAAGAGTGGTCTGACCTTGAGAATGTGCAGAAACTGGACCCCTCATACACTGCTCATGGGAATGTAAAATGAAGCAACTGCCATGCAAGACAGTCTGGCAGTTCCTCAAAAGGTTAAACAATCGCCATTTGACCCAGCAATTCTCCTATATACAAATAAGATATATGTATGTACAAAAACTTGTCCATGAATGTTCACAGCAGTATTATGCATAATAGCCAAAAAGTGAAAGCAACCCAAATGTCCATCAATTGGTGAATGGATAAATAAAATACAGTACTATGTGTGTGATTCCCGAGTTCCCCCGCTTGCTGTGCCCTGAACAAGTATCAGAGGGCCTTGATATGACCGCCCTGTGACCCAGCCAGCTGCAAGTTTTTCCCTGCAGACTTGCAACCAAACACCGGCCTAGCATATTCCCAGGCACTAATAAGGATATCCAGGTTGTTGCCCAAAACACTGAAACTGACCCCCACCTTTAACCAAATTCCATAAACCCTCATGTAAACTCCATACCCTGACCCCTCACTGGCGATGTACCTAGGTGAAATACCCGCTTTCTCTGGCTGTCCGTCGTGAGAAGTGTTGCAGCCCACTTTGTAAGTTTCCCTAATAAATGCTTTAGGTTTAGTGCTTTTTTTGAGACAGAGTGTTCCTCTGTCCCCCAGGCTGGAGTGCAGTGGTGTGACCTTGGCTTGCGGCAATATCCGCCTCCCGGTTTAAGAGATTCTCCTGCCTCAGCCTCCCAAGTAGCTGGGACTACAGGTGGCTACCACCACACCTGGCTAACTTTTGTATTTTTAGTAGAGGCAGAGTTTCACCTTGTTGGTCAGGCTGGTCTCGAACTCCTGACCTCAGCAGATACACCTTCCTCAGCCTCCCAAAGGGCTGGGATTACAGGCATGAGCCACCGTGCCCAGCCATATTACTTCTCTGGAATCCCAACCAACCCTCTTTGGCAGGAGAAAACACCGTATCTATATAATGGAATGTTATTTGGTCATAAAAATAAAGTACTGATGATCCGCTGCAACATGAATCTTGAAAGCATTATGCTAAGTAAGAGAAGCCAGTCATGAACGGTCACATGTTGGATGATTCCATTTATGTAAAATGTCCAGAAGAGACAAATCTATAGAGCCAGAGAGATTTTATGACTGGTTGCAAGAGGCTGGGGGTGGGGAATGCGGAATGACTGCAAATGGGTATGGGGTTTCTTTTTGGAGGTGATGAAATTGGTTGGCTGGGCGCTGTGGGTCACACCTGTAATCCCAGCACTTTGGGAGGCCTAGGCGTGTGAATCACCTGAGGTCAGGAGTTCCAGATCAGTGTGGGGAACATGGCAAAAACCCATCTCCACTAAAAATACAAAAATTAGGCCAGGAGTGGTTGCACATGCCTGTAATCCCAGCTACTTGGGAGGCTGAGGCAGGAGAATTGCTTGAACCCAGGAGGTGGAGGTTGCAGTGAGCTGAGATCATGCCACTGCACTCCAGCCTGGGCAACCAAAGTGAAACTCCGTCTCAAAAAAAAAAAAAAAAATTAAGCAGGCACAGTGGCTTGCACCTATACTCCCAGCTACTCCGGAGTCTGATGCAGGAGGATCCCCTGAACCTGGGAAGCAGAGGCTGCATTAAGCTGAGATCATGCCACTGCACTCCAGCCTGGGTGACAGAGTGAGACTCCATTTCAAAAAAAGAAAAAACTAGGTCTAGAATTAGATAATGGTGATGGCTGCACAAATTGATGAATATACTACAAACCACTGAATTATATATTTATTTTTTTGAGAGAGAATCTCACTCTGTTGCCCAGGCAGGAGTGCAGTGGTATGCTCTTGGATCACTGCAACCTCCACCTCCTGGGTTCAGGCAGTTCTCCTGCGTCAGCCTCCCAAGTATCTGGGACTACTTGGTGTGAACCACCACTCCCAGCTAATTTTTTTATTTTTAGTAGAGACAGGGTTTCACCATGTTGCCCAAGCTGGGCTCAAACTCCTGACCTCAGTTCATCCACCCAGCTCGGGCTCCTGAAGTGCTGGGTACAGGTGTGAGCGACCATGCCTGGCATATATATACACTTTAAAAGGGTGAATTCTAGCCCGGGTATGGTGGCTCATGCTTGTAATCCCAGCAGGTTGGGAGTCCAAGGCAGGAGGATTGCTTGAGCCCAGGAATTTGAGACCAGCCTGGGCAACATAAGACCTGCCTTTACCAAGAAAAAAAAAAATCCAAAAATTAGCCAGGTATGGTGGCATGTACCTGTGGTCCCAGCCACTCAGAAGGCTGAGGTGGGAGGATCCCTTAAACCCAGGAGGTTGAGGCTCCAGTGAGCTGTGATTGTGCCACTGCACACCAGCTTGGATAACAGAGGGAGACCCTGTCTCAGAAAAATAAAAAAAAGTGAATTTTATCTTAATAAAAATAGAATGAGTCACAATTGTCCAGAAACAGCTCTAACTGGGACCTCAGACTTTTTGACTCTTCCATTGTCCACCACCTTGTGAGATATCAGTTTGAGGAAGGGTTCTCTCTGAAATATGAGCAATGTGAACATTTTTCATTTTCTTCACTTTAAAAAATTCCCTGGACTTCTTGGAATAAAAATATTTTTAAAAGAAAAATTGTTGAAAGAGCCCCAGCAAGGGAGGTGTTGCTCACGCCAGAGTTTCACAACATAGTACCCTGCACTGAGGTTTCTCTAGTTTGGCAAAAATAATGAGTTATACAGATTTATATACATGTTGGTGGAAGTTTGTCAATTGTCCTTTCTTGGGAATGTCTTTCACCTGTTATAAGTTCACATCCATTTACATTAAGAGTGTGAAAATAGGCCAGGTGCAGTGGCTCACGCATGTAATCCCAGCACTTAGGGAGGCCAAGGTGGGTGGATCACAAGGTCAGGAGTCTGAGACCAGCCTGCCCAATATGGTGAAGCTCGTCTCTACTAAAAATACAAGAAATTAGCCAGGCGTGGTGGCACATGCCTGTAGTCCCAGCTACTCAGGAGGCTGAGGCAGAACTGCTTGAACCTGGGAGGCAGAGGTTGCAGTGAGCCAAGATCGCGCCACTGCACTCCAGCCTGAGTGATAGAGCAAGACTCCGTCTGAAAAAAAAAAAAAAAAAAGACTACCTAGGCATTTGGTCTTTGAAATCCAGATGCCTAGGTGGATTTAAGAACACAGAGAAGGCTGGGCGCAGTGACTCACACCTGTAATCCCAGCACTTTGGGAGGCCAAAGTGAGAGAGTCACTTGAGCCCAGGAATTCAGGAGTAACCTGGGCAATGTGGTAATATTGGTCTCTACAAAAAAATAATTAGTTGGGCATGGTGGCATATACTGGTGCTCCTCGCTACTGTGGAGGCTGAGGTGGGAGGATTGCTTGAGCCAGGAAGTCAAGGCTGCAGTGAGCCATATTCCTGCCATTGCACTCAGCCTGAGGGACAGAGACAGTGTCTCAAGAAGAAAAACGAACACAGCCGGGTGCAGTGGTTTACACATGTAATCCTAGCACTACGGGAGGCTGAGGTGGGAGGATCACAAGGTCAGGAGATCAAGATCATCCTGACCAACATGGGAAAACCCTATCTCTACTAAAATACAAAAAATTAGCCGGGTGTGGTGGTGTGCACCTGTAGTCCCAGCTACTCGGGAGGCAGAGGCAGGGGAATTGCTTGAACCCAGGAGACGGAGATTGTGGTGAGCCGAGATTGTGCCACTGCACTCCAGCCTGGCAACAGAGCAAGGCTCCGTCTCAAAACAAAAAAAGAACAGAGAAGAAATTCTCTAGAGTTGAGTTAGAGTGGCTAAGAGATAACAAGACTGGACCACCCAGGCCAATGCTAGCCAGAATTGGAAGGACAGAGGTCAGCATGGTACGAATTTGTTAGAAGTGAACAAAAATTGCTCAGATTCTTATTCAGAAACCAATTCACACTTTAAAAATAAAATTTATACTGTACAGTATCCCGTCCTCTTAACAGCTACAGTGGTCTACCCTAAAACACTGAGTAATACCTTCTTACAGTTTGTTTCTTCCTCACAGTTCACTGATTTTAATGTGAAAGTACCAACTTGAGCTAAAATGAAATGAAAAGCCTGATGTTTCAGGCACCAAGTATTTTAAAAATGTCTACTGGCTCTCCTGCAGCATTTTACTTTATCGTTTTTTAGAGGAGGGATGAGGAGCAGTTGGGTAAAGGAAATCATCAAATGGAGCCTTAAATAACTGATTATAAAACCTTTTTGTAAAATCACACAAATATTTCAAGAATAAATGCATTCCGGAGATACAAACCAGGCAAAGAGAAAGAAAAATCAGTGAGATTGGCATTACGCTTGTAAAAGGTCAAATGGACACAAGCCCTTGAGGGTCTACTGTGAAGTGCTTGGGGGTAAGTGGCCTCAAAGAAACTCGGGAGTGACAATTTTGCACTGAGCTTGGGAAGGGAGCCTTGGGAAAACACCACACTTGTGAAATCAGAAAAAAACAGCAAGTGACGGTGCTCACAGCCCAGGAGCAGCTCCTGCTGGTTTAGGTCAGAGAAAACCTGAGAGAAAGATTCCTACAACAATGAGGGCTATAAGGGGAGTGGTGGAAAAAATCCAGTGGAAATATTTTCTCGGGAAAGGAAGGAACAAAGTCATGGGAAGTTAAAATCTGGTACCCTAATGTAGTAGTAAATTTAAGGCCTGTCAAGGAAATTTTAAAACTTTCATGAGGTTGACTGTATCAGGGAGGAGAAAAACAAGTGCTTCCTGCTTCACCTGCTGCTGCTTTCGGGACTTTTCTAGAGCTAGCAGGTAAGGACAAGACCCTGAACACATTTTATCACTGGGAGAGGAAAGCCACCAGGCTTCCCAGCTATG